ATATCTAAATCACTTGTATCACCATAGCGAGTAAGTACAGTAAACTAGAATTTTTTACAGTAAATCACTATAGAAAACACGTTCAATCCAATACAAAACTAACATAACCATATCTAAATCATTTGTATCATCACAATAGTCTGTAAGAATTTTTTACATTAAGTTACTATAGAAAACACGTTCATTCCAATACAAAACTAACATGACCATATCTAAATCACTTGTATCACCACAATAGTTAGTAAGTACAGTAAATCACTATAGAAAACTCGTTCATTCCAATACAAAACTAACATATCCATACCGGTATCTAAATCACTTGTATCACCACAATAGTCGGTAAGAATTTTTTACAGCAAATCACTACCAATACTATCATAACCATATCTAAATCACTTGTACCACCATAGCGAGTAAGTACAGTAAACCAGAATTTTACAGTAAATCACTATAGAAAACATGCTCATTCCAATACAAAACTAACATAACTATATCTAAATCACTTATATCACCACAATAGTCTGTAAGAATTTTTTACATTAAATCACTGTAGAAAACACGTTCATTCCAATACAAAAATAACATGACCATATCTAAATCACTTGTATCACCACAATAGATAGTAAGTACAGTAAACCAAATTTTTTACAGTAAATCACTATAGAAAACACGTTCATTCCAATACAAATCTAACATATCCATATCTAAATCACTTGTATCACCACAATAGTCGGTAAGAATTTTTACAGTAAATCACTATAGATTCCAATACAAAGCCAACATAATCATATCTAAATCACTTGCATCAGCAAATGTTTTTCTACATCAAATTTAGCATTAAAAATTGTTTGATATATGTTTAATGTTAAAGAATAATGTTATAATCGTATTATAAAAAATTTATTGTTAAGAAATTATTAAAATTTAATGTATTTATATTATAAAGGTTTTGTAGTATTAATTTTAGATTAATTAATCTTATATTGGTTTAGATATAGCATTAAACTATTAATATAATTTAATATATAAATGCTATAAAGAATTAAATAATGACAATTTGACATTAATTTTTTAATATAAAATTTTTACTAATTTAAATTAATATTAATTTTATATTAATTTTATTTTAATTTTTGCCTAATTACTATTAAATAATACTGTTATTTCACTACCTTTTTAAGCAGTCATTGCATTCACATGATATGTAATTAGCTGTTTAAATTTATTTAAACACTTTTAATTTTAATTAAATGTACATTAAGTAAATTCGGAATTATCAAATCTAGTCCATGCTGATTTGGTTGATAAACAATCTTTTATTCAAGTCGATTTAGTCATTATTATTTACTAATTGAAATATTTGAAATAATCTATTATTAAATTTTATTCATGCTGATTTATGATTCTTATAACTTGATTTTCTGAAAAATTATATAATTATAAATTTTAGTCTTATCTGAACACAAGGTTTTATGGTGATGCACTTGCAAAGTGTATCTGCTAAATGCTTTTTCATCAATCTGATCTTTAATTTAAAAAAAAAAAATTGCTTCTTGCTACAAAGAGTGTAAGATGAATGCTCCCAAATTAAGAGAGCAATGCACGAAAGAAGTGCAGAAATTAATTATGGCTTACCAGCAAGTGGGTGAATATTTAACCAAATTGTTGAAACCGATTGTTGTGAATTAGACCACCAAGCTCTGTATGTGATCACTGGAGCTTTTGGAGTAATCTTGGCTCTTCTAGTTATGTTTTTTGGTTATAATCTAAAACTGAGTACTCACATGGCTAAATTAGAGGAAAAGAATGGCAGCAGACAGAAACAAATTGATGAATTGAAAAAAGAGATAGAGCAGTTAAAGCAGGGAGTTAAAAACTAGGTTGTGGTTATAATTCATTCATATTTTTATTATATTGGCTTCTAGTTGCCCTACTCCCTGCTAATACTTATTATGAAATGCTTAGTCACCAGTTGAAACTGCTAATGGAGCAGTGAAATCAAGTAGCTGAGTGAGCAACCGAAGCTGGCATTGACATTAATCAGAAATATGTGAAAAGTAAAGATTTAGAAGCCCAATTGCAAGGAAATATTCGTTGATGTTCCAGAGAAGAATATTGAAAAATTAGAGAAAACTATTGATGACCTAATTAAAAATTATTCAAAAAGAATAAAATCAACACGTGAATTATAATATGTCAAATTACTAGAAGTATTCGAAAATGAATATTCAATGAATTTATCCAAATATTAATTCTATTAAAAAAGTTAAATTAATAAATATCCAGATGGTTAGTTTTAACTGGATCAATCATATTTCAAAGATTCAATTCTTTCAGGAATTGTTTCTACAAAGTGCATCAATTAATACATTTTATTCTTCTGTTCTGTGTTTATATTTTAAAACTCAAAGAAGCCAGAAAAGTGTTCTTGTAAGTGCATCTATTTAATGCTTTTTCCTTCTCTTGCTCTTGCAAGATATACTTGCCAAGTCCTTTTCATCTTCCAATTCAAGTTTATAGTTTATTAGAACATGAGTTAGTATAGTGTTTTTTTTATTAATGCCTTTCTACTTTAATTCAAAGTATAGTATTAATTATACTCAATTCTGATTGGCCATTTAAATACTGCACTCATAAAATTTAAATTCTTCTTCCCAGACTCATTGATCTGGCTGGGTTATGAGAACCAAAAAAATTAACTTTGCCCAGCCTAATAATAGTAAAATCCTTTTTGTAAAAATATAGTAAATTTCTAAATAGATAAAACAATATTTAACAATTATAAAAATATCTTAGCTGGAAAATTTAAATGCAATTATTATTGTACTATATTAAAATACAACCTTATTAATATATAAATTTAAACAAATTTTAAAAAATAAATTTGTTTATATAAAAAGCATTATTATTATTAAAATCTTGAACTACATGTATATCATGTGAAATAGTACTAAGCGAAATAAGAGTATAATAGTTGGTAAGTTTTACATATAGACAATTATAAATACAGTCAACTCTGGATATAACGAACCTTTTTATAATGAACTCTGGATATAATGAACTCAAATTTTCTAAATTTTAATATTAGTTTGGTATAACAAGAGCTACGGCTATTAAGAAAACATAGTAATTCTATATAATGAATTTTTTTTTGGCCAGAACCGAGGGTTTGTTATAGAAAGAGTAGACTGTATATAACATATCCGAATATTTAAAATAATACCAATTTACCAATGCAAGTTCATAATTTTGTAATATGTTTTGATTATTGTAATATTTAAGTTCTATAATTAGTAATATCTATAAATAAAGTTGAAATTATATGTTTAGTTATTTAAATATTAAAATATTATTTTATTAAATTATATACTTACTTTCGCATAACAATATCCATTATTATTAATACATATTTGTTGCTCCTTTTCATCCAATTCTATTGCAATATTGCTATAATATGATGTTTTATAATATGAAGGTGAAGCTCTAATTATTGTTCCACATTTAAGCTTAGCATTTTTAAAAACATCAATTTGAATATTCAGATTTAATAAACTTTCTTCAGAATTAGATAAAAAATTTTTAATACATTCTTGAAGATTTTTAAAACCTTGTATAGTTTCTTGTAACATTGTTTTGTCAGATTCTAATTGCAAAATTATACAATTAATATTATATAATTTTAAACTATACCAAGGTTTTTTATCTATAATAAAATTTTCTTTATATTAAAAATTGCTTAATTGTGATGTTTTTTTTTGCTGCAATGAAGTATACAAAATTTCTTGACACCAAATCTATAATATGTATGTATAAAAAATTTAAATAAATTATATTATTTATTAATTTGCTTATAATAATATATATGTATAAAGTTACTTACCATATTAAGAAGTTGTTTATCAATATCATGTTTATTTGTTAAGTTATATAGTTGCTTAATATAAAATTTATGCAAAGTCTCATATATTTTGCTAGTCATTTCATTAATTGAACCAAATTCTTTAATTGATGAAATAGTATAGTAAATCCACAAATGAAACTTTGGCAATTTCAAATTTGAAGATGAATAATTTATAAATAATTGCTTATAATCTTTTGCTCATTTATTAATACTTTCCTATAATAAATATAATAAATATAATTAATTTAAAGATAAGTATATTATAAATAATATAATAAAAAATCTAATAAAAAAATACCTCCAATACTATAAGATTAGCATCATTTATTTTATCACATCTAGTCCATAAATACATTATATTCCATTTAACAAATAGTTGACAAATATTTTTGTTAAAATCTAAATTCGAATCTATAAGCCCATCTAATATAAAGACAAACACTTTCATCATATCTCTATAATTTGAAGCTGTAAATTGCGAAATATTACTTATTCCATATTTAAAAAATATGTAAATTAGGAAATTGCGATATTTGTGCTAAACGTTTATCTAATTTTTGTAAAATAGACTTTCCCATTTGTTCTTTTAATAAAGTACAAGTAAATTCAATTTGATATTTAAAAAGCCCTAAGTCAAGATGGTGCATATGATCTGGAATAGTTGCACTATATATGTTAAAATGTTGATGATTCCAAAATGCATTATCTATATTATATATTGAATAGGTTTTATCTAAATTTTTTTGTAAAATTTCTTTCATATTAATTTCAGTACGTAATATAATATTTTTTTCTAAATTATTATTGAGATTTTCTTTTTTGATTAAGCAAAAATAACAAGGCTGTTGTGATTATAATGAAGAATATATTAAGCAACACATATTTGCTTCTGGCCAATCAGATATAATAAAGACAAATATATAAATAACTAATGTCTTTGTCTATTAATATATAAATAGATACCTTTTCATTTGTGAATGTATAGTTTAAGAATTTTTGCAATTGCTTGATGAAAAATTTGGTTTGTTGCTATTTGATATTTTTCTGATTTTTTATTAATAGATACCAAGCTAGGAAGAAGTCCAAGTACTATAAACTGAACTGCCATATACAAGACCCGGCATGACAAATAATGTAGATCTATTTTTAAAATAAAATTTATGTATTATATGATGCATAATACACGTGATTTAAAAATTTTTCAATTGTAAAAAATTGCATCACACCGGGTCTTGTATATGGCAGTTTACGGTAATACTTTAGCATCTGATTGATTTTTTCTATTAAATAGAATATTGTCTAATATTATGTAAATTGGATGCTTTGACATTTTTTCAAATTTGTCACAAGTTGTTGAATTACTATATAAAATAATCGCAAGTGGTTTAGCACCAATAGGTAGTTTATAATAAACGTTTTCCCACTATTAACTATTATAAAGTTCAGAATAAGAGCATTATAAAGTTCCCTGTTTAATTTAATAAAATAATAATAGTTTTTTAATAATAAATATAGTTTTTTAATAAGTTATTAAAATTTAACTTACTTCATAATTTATATATCGTGGTTTATAATTAAAAATACATGAATTGGCAATATTCTCTTTAGAAAGAAGCTCCTTAACACCATCAAATATGTTTTTGTAATTCATTATATATTTTTTTTCTTCAAATTCAAATATAATTTCATTTGGAAAATCATTAGCAGTTTGTTCTATATTATCAATATAACTTTTACCTTGTTGTATTGATGATAGAAGTGGTTCATCTATTCTATTTGCATGATTATTAAAAAATTTAATTATAGCATCACCAACAGTATTTGAAAAATTATTATCAATGATAAGTTTCATAAAATCCGCATATATTTCATTTGGAAAATATGATTCCCATTTAGTTGATTGTTCTGGTGTAATATTTTTTAAAGAATCAAAAAAGCCATAATCTTGTTTATTTGATATAGTTGAAATATTAAATATTTCAGAAAATTCAGATATAATACTTTCATTATCACTAGAATTATCTAATTCATTATTTAATAATTCTTGTGTTTGAATTATTTTTGTTTGTAATTTACTAGATTCTCTTGTCTAAAATAAATATAAAATATTATTAATAAATATTATTAAATAAAATTTAATAAATATTTTAAAATAATTACAAATGCAAGATTTTTAATATTTATTTTTGAAGTTGGTGATTCGAATTTGTTTTTAATTAAAGAATCCTTATTTGTTTTTCATTGACTTTGTTGAATTATAAAGCTTTCAGCATTACTAGTTAGTTTTTCTTGTATTTCAATTGTTTTATACTAATTTTCATGGCTACCAAGTCCTTGTGTAGTTGAAAATTTTTTACCGTATCTAGGTATTTTACAAGAATACATTTTTTTAAAAAAAGTAGTTTGCAAAAACCTAATTACGTAAATATAGTAATAGGACCTCTTGAATTAATAATAATTAATAATAATTATTAATAATTAATAATAATTAATAATAATTAATAATAATTAATAATAATAATTAATAATAATTAATAATAATTAATAATAATTAATAATAATTAATAATAATAATATTAATAATTATTAATAATTATTAATAATTATTAATAATTATTAATAATAATTAATAATAATTAATAATAATTAATAATAATTAATAATAATTAATAATAATTAATAGGTTTAGACCACAGATAAGTTACTAGGTATACTTAGTTTCTAGATTCTTCTAGTCATATGTTTGAGTTCTTATTCTTAGCACTAGGCTTAAAATATAAAACCTTTTTCAATCATGTAAAAAGTTTTTATTAAGTTTAAAGATAAGAGCAAGGTTTCACCTTAAATATTAATAATAATAATAATAATAATAATAATAATTAATAATAATAATTAATAATAATTAACAAGTTTACTAAAATGCACCTATGGTGTTCAACACCATAGATACCTATTTCTCAAAAACGTACTAAGTAAATGTGATCAGATATTCTAAGTAAAAATGTTTAGGACCCCCAAAAACTTTATAAAAACTAAAATTGGAACCTTATATCTAACATATATTATAATATATAAAAAAAAAAAAAAATTATAAAAATATATCCTAACCCTAAATTTTATTAAAAACAATTATATATAGTGTTGAACACTATAGGTGCATTTTATAATAATTAATAATTAATAATAATTATTAATAATTATTAATAATTAATAATAATTAATAATAATTATTAATAATTATTAATAATTATTAATAATTATTAATAATTATAGAGGTGTGGCGCCTTAGTGAAGTGGTCTAGTTGTCACCCTCTCCAAATGGTAATGGTATATTCCTCAAGGTTCG